ATTTTTTTATTTTTTGGACAAATCTAGAAAACCTTCCTCTTAACTTCTAATTCGAGAGAGAGAGGGAGCAGTCGCTGCTCGCGATCTTGTTCGATTGTTAGATTTCGTCGGTTGGTCGCAGAAAATTGAAAAAACGAACTACAAACATATTAACGCCAAACATGCGGTAGAATTTATAGAATATTGTAAAATATATATATATATATATATATATATATATATATATATATATATATATATATATATATATGTATATATATTGTGTATTGTATATAGATGATCTTTTTGAATATGTTTATAATGGTTATGAATATATATTGTATATTGTATTGTAGATAATGATGATGATGATTATGAAGATAATAATGATACATACATAAATACATATGCATACATATACTGACATACATACAATAATTGTTTGTAAATTAGTTATTTTATTACTATTGTGTTTGTCTCGGTGGTGAAATTTATATAGCGCTGACATTTAACAAAAAGATTTTTTTGGTTTCATTAATTCATTTGATCGTATTGTTTGTGTTCGTTTATATATAAATATACATGCGTTATTATTTAACAAATAAATGTATGAATGTGTGCATATGTATGCATGTATATGATTGATTAATTGACTGATTAATTGATTGATTGATTACTTGCTTGGTTGGCCATTCATTCAAGTGAACTGCTGATGACTTTCAAAAGTGGATTTATATTATAACAGTACGTAAAAACAAACTAATGAAAATAATAGTTATAAATATTTATATTTGTTTTTAGTTGCACATGAGTTCATTTTTAGTTTACTAAATTTTTGAGTTTTTTTTTGTTATTTTGTTAACTTTTAATATTTAAATTAATTTTTTGACCATTCAATTCATTCAGCATTGCACCATATATGTTGTTCTCATGTTTTTACCTTGGTCATTGATTGGTTGATTGATTGGTTGATTGATTGGTTGATTGATTGGTTGGTTGATTGATTGATTGATCGGTTGATCGTCTCCTTTTTCTTCTTATTGTCGTTGTTGTAGCCGCATTGGGAAAAATTACTAATTACTTAATTTAACACAATGATTTATACATATTGTACACTTACATATGGTATATAATACTACATTTGTTTTGCGCTGGTGGCATTTCGTTTCTTTTTTTCTTTCGTTCATTCATTTTGTTGTTGTTGCGGTTCCTTCCTTCTTTCTTTCGTTCGTTCATTCATTTTGTTGTTGTGGTTCCTTCCTTCTTTCTTTCATTCAACGTAATAAATGAATAAAAGTGTCGTTATATTTGAAAGTATAGCAATTTTTCGTCACATTTCATCCACGTTTGCAGTTTTAATTGGACGATCGATTAGCCAATTAGCTGATTAATTACCTTTTTTATATATTGTCAATTAACTAATTAATTAACTAATTAATGGAGTAATTGGGTAAACTAGAAAATCAATATTTCGTAATTTCACAGGAGAGTATTCCGGATGCAAAAGTCATCATTAATATTTTATATTTTGTTAGATTTATTTAAGAGAAATACCAGATATACAATAACATAGTATCAAGATACACACATTTATATGTATACAGTGATACAATCAAACATGTATGTATGCAAAAATACATACAATTGATACAAACAAGTGGTTGAAAATGAATAAACTAATTGTTTAAATTAATTACTCATTTAATGATGAAAAGATGATATTGTACTCTGTGTAAATATGGAAAAAGCAGTTTTTCGACATTTACAATGACAAATAACGTTTCAATTAATTATTAACCATAAAATAATTAATTAATAATCAAAGAATAGAAATATAGCACGTACGTACTATGGTTCAAAATGTGAAATAGCATTTAAAAAGTAAAAAATTAAATTGATTTATTTTTTAAATTTACCTTTTAAACATATGGCACCACCCTTCTCATTGTCTGAATCACCGAGAAATTAATAGAGATTTCTACTTCTGGTTTTGGTTGTGGAAAGGTTAAATTTTTGATTCTAAGTTATCATTTCAGATTTTATATTTTTTTGTTTTTAAATTTAAAAATAATTGAATTAAAATTGCCACTTTTTAAAAATGAGTTTGATTTGCGTCTTCAGCTGTTAAAAACCCCAATCCAGACAAAACGGAACTAAAATTTGAAAAGCCGAAAAATAAAAAAAATGGCGCACAGCATGAGAATAAATGATTAATTATGAAACCTACAAATAGTTTACTTTCCTGTGGTTAAATGGTTTAATATCTCATGAAACATGCACTCCCAGATTTATTGAAATTCTCAGAAAAATGGCCGACAAAGAGCATGGAGATGATTTAGTTCCGGATGAGACACCCGGTTACCAGCCTCCAGAACAGAAGACCCTGACCGAAATCTTGTCGGCTGATGCGGAGGATGAAAGTCTGAGGAAATATAAGGAAACTCTGCTTGGCACCAGTGAACCTGTAAATGTTGAAATTTGTTAGTATTTTTATTTTATTCTGTAAGTAGGACGTAGGTGAATCAAACTCTGTCAAACCCAGAGTATAAATTAGTTCTACACTTTTATACTAATTAGCATGGATGAATTACTTTGATCTACATTACACTACTACTATCTAGATGTAATTAGTACCAGTCATTTTTACTATATTATTATAACTAATGTTTACTGATCGTTTTTAATATTTTCATTCCGTGCTATTGTTAGATAATTTAATTGATTTCATAGATTGAATTTTTTTTACAAAAGATTTTTGAGCTTAAAATTAATTAGGCAAAATTTTACAAAATTTTCAAGTCCCTAGTGATCCAAGGAGAGTCATAGTGACAAAACTTGCCTTGTTAGTTGAGGGCAGGCCAGATATTGAGGTGGATTTAACAGGTGGGGGCTGCTTATTTATTTATTTACATTCACATCATGCAACTCACTATCTCTCTACTAACTGTAATTCCTATTTTTTCCACCCATTCCCAAACTAAAAGGAAACTTAGAAGATTTGAAAAACCAGACCTATGTGCTGCAAGAGGGCTGTACCTACAAAGTTAAAATCTACTTCTACGTCCAGAGGGAGATAGTTCAGGGCCTAAGATATGTTCAGCAAACCTACCGGGCTGCCATTCCAGGTCGGAGAAAAAATTCCTCTTTTTTTTAAATTTAAAAGTTAATTGCAGTTGAAATTAGGATTAAAAGTAAACTCAACTTTTTTGAGAATTTACCATTTTAAAAATTGAAGAAAAATGCATTTAGTGTGAATGAGAGCTGATGACATAACCATGTTGCTTTGTTACACTATATTATTCCAAAATAATCAATGGTATTGTTTTACTATAAAATAATGTATAATTATGATAAAATTTATTATCTAGAAGAATTTCTTTTCCTCTATCAAAACAGTCGATAAAAACACGTTCATGGTCGGTAGTTATGGGCCAAAGAAGGAGTTGCAGTCCTTCACGACCCCGGCCGAAGAGGCCCCGTCCGGATTAGTGGCTAGAGGGACGTACAAGATCAAATCCCTCTTCACTGACGACGACAAATTCGAGCACCTCAAATGGGAATGGAAACTGGACATTAAGAAGGACTGGAAATAATCGACGGTGATTAAGCAGAAATTAGGAATGGTGGGGAGTCCAGCAGGGATGTGCCCCAGCCTGAGATTTAAGAATTGAAAGATAATTTTTCATGTATGAATGTATGAATAAATATATATATGCAATGGCTATTTGCTTTAAAATACAATTTCTTGGTTTGCTGGCACTGTTGTCTGTCAGATGGAAATCTACCAATTGTTTATTATTTCTGACATTTTTGTTTTATGCATATTAGTGTATAATTAATATATATATATATATGTATGTGTATATATATAAATGCTAAATAAAATGTGTCAGCATTGAAATCTATTTACCTATATATATCTTCATAATTATATATAATATGTATTATATATATATATATCCTATTTTATTTAGATTATTATTTCAGCAATGAATAACAAATATTAATAAATTTCATCAACAACAACAAAGATGTTTCTTCTGCATCGGAGACACGCATGTTTGTGTGTGCGTGTGCGCGCGTGCGTTCACAGAGGAGTGAATGATTGATTGTATGAGTAAATGAATGAAAGAAAGTTATTTTTTCTAATTAATGGATGACTTATAACAAAAAAAAAACGAATAAAATGTTTTTGGCATCGCTGTTGTTAATTAAAACTTGAAATAAATATAATCTATTACTATGGAAGTATTTTGAGTATTTATGCAGTAAAATATGTATTAATCTGGTAATTAAGAACTGGTAGCTTAGTAGATAAGTAGGTTAAAGCATTGTAACTTTGTATTAATGTACTAATTAAATACAAATTTTGTAAATTATTTTACTTGTTAATTATATCGTTGTAGTAACTTAGTATTTTATATTTTAATGAAGCGTTAGTATAGTGGCTAGAAGAGTCTAATAGTCGAGTATAAATCTAATACCTAAGTGTTTATACAATTACTGTTGTGGGTACAAAATTGGATGTTAGTTAAATATCGAGACAGTACATATGCATTTTATTATCGTCATGATTATTATTGTTATTATTATTTTGTTGTTATCATTATTTTTCTTGTTATCATTTTTGTTGCTGTTGTTGTTATTATATTTATTATTTTTTTTTATTATTGCAGAGAACACTTCTAAAAAGTTAAAAAGCATTTTTCAAGTTTCTCCTATTAAAAGACAACAAAGTATAACTGCATCTGGCGGGGAGTGAGAGAGAGAGAGAGAAAGGAAGGGAGTGTGTGAGAAAGAGAGAGAGTGAAAAAATGAGAGAGAGAAAGAGTGAGGAAGAAAGTGAGTGGGGGAAGGAAATGAGAGAGAGAAAGAGAGAGAGAGAGAGAGAGAGAGAAGAAATAAAGAAAAAATCCGAAAAAAGTTAGAGAAAAAAATCAAAGAGAGAGAGTGAGAATGAAAGAGATAGTGAGAAGAAGAGTTTGCAAGAATTTGTGTGAGCGTGTGAAGTGTGAATTTGAGAATTACAATAAATAAACATCGATTGCAGCATTTATTTGATGTGATGCACACAGATACATACATACATGCATATATACAAACATACTTACATATACTCATACATGCATACATACATACATGTATACATGCATATCTACATACATGCATATCTACATACATGCCTACGTATGTACATACATATCTACTTATGCTATCAAAACTACTTTATAACGTAATAATATTACTATGATAATAACGACTTACACCGAAACTGTAATAGTGGCGTTGGTTTGCGTGGTTATATAGAGTTTTTGGTATAGTACGTGGTTATATAGAGTTTGCAGTATTGTGCGGTATCTCATTACACGCGCAGATACATCATGTTTGTATGGTAGTATTATTTTCTGTCTTACTGGCTTTTTCTTCATGAGTTTTAGTTATTAAACCTAGGTAGTTATTAAAGTTATTAAACATAGGTAGGTGAGATGCGGGTTCAATTGAAGGTAGGCTAGGGCCTGTGTTGAGTATTGGTGGTGGGTTAAGCTAGGGATAAGCTAGGACTGAGAATAATAATCATTTGCACAGGTAGGCTAAAAGTGGTAAGTAAATAGAAAATGATGGAGATTGTAGCGATGATATAGGGTGTAATTAACATCATATATACAATTTTAGCACTCTGATAGTAAAAAATCGACTAATTTGTTTCTATTGTTTTTTACAAAAATCAAATGACAATGGAATAGAACAAAATTTGAACATTACAGCGAGAGGTTATTTGCCTTTTGTACAAGTAACTTACGCTCATTTCAATTCCTTCGCTTATTCCACTTAAATTCCGTACTTATTCCAATTTTAAAAAATGTAATTATTATTTTTCAAACAGACTGTTCGAAGTTGTCTCCAAAATCAAAATGTCGGTTGTCTCTAGTTCTCTGTCAAATGTTTTTCCTCACCTAATTAAGAGGCACCTCAGCAGGCAATGCTACTCCAAAACAAACACCATCAACATAGAAGCCAGTTCAACAACACAGCAAGTGCAGACGAGTTGTTAAACTTTAAAAAAGGAATGAACAAACTATTTCAAACAGCCTCTGTTTGAAATTGTTAGTGAACAGTGAACGGTGTGAACAGTTAGCACATAAAGATGCTGTAGCCAAAGTAACTGTGTGGTGTTGTGTTGTGTTTGTGTGGTGTATTGTATATGTTTGTGAGTATATATTTATGCACATCTGTGTGTGTATATAGATGTTTGTGTGTGTTTATTTGTTTTCAAAATTTGATTTTCATAGCAAAAGTCCGTGCAAGTTTTTATAGATCTGTTGAAAGCCCTCACCAGCATGATGATTAGACGGGCTGGTGGTCCTTCTCGATTTATTGAGGCCATAGTTTTTTTTTCATTATTCTACTAATCAGTGCTTATTTATTTATTTATTGTTTTTGTTTGATTATTAATTTCCATGTTTGTTTATTATCTAATGATTGATTCTTTGTATCATTTATTTGAATTTTAAATTACCTGATTATTATTTTTATTTCTACTATTCAGAAAATTTTTTGGGGCCATCCATCTGTATCTTCTGTAAAGAAACGTGATGAAGCAAGTAGAAAAGTCGAAAGATTCAAACAAAAATAACGACTATAATAAAAATAATAAAAATAATAATATAATAATAACAATAATTTTAAATGTTGTAAACTTTAATTAGACATTTATATTTTATCAATAAGAAATTTTTGAAAAAAATGCTGTATCTTTGGACATAAAGGGTCATTAGCATATTATTATTAAATGTATGTGTGCCATTAAGCTGTTAAAATTTATCATTAATGAACCACCCATTGGTTAATACTTATGAATTAACATATATAAGTTATGCTATTCTATATAAGAATCACATCAATATTTTATTTATTTAACATTTGAATTTTATTTGAAAGACTCGTATCAATATTTAGCAAACATTTAACAAATTATACAAGTATTTGACAACGTCTGACCATGCATTCAAACCCGGTCATCTTGAAACAGTTGGTTCACCCAGTAGCGTCAGCTCAATTGACTGGTCAAACGCTCTGCCGCTTATGTGTATATTATGTTATTGGCGTGTTAGAAATGGAAAATGTAGATAACAAAATGTTGTGTATCACAAAGTATTTTGATGTTAAATTCACCAATAGAAAATGGTTCCTGTCAGTCTCACATTTTGAAGCCCATTATAGACTAACCATTCCATGGACTATTCACGTAACTGTTGTTTAATAAGCGTTGCAGACTTAATGTTCATTCAATTTCTCCTCAATGATAGCTGAACCTTTATTATTAACAATGGAAACGTTGGGAGCGGGAGCTGCCACGGATTTCGATTCTTTGATTCGTTTGGTTTGACTCGTTAAAGGCCTCAACAACATTGACTTATATTTTTTGATTGTTTCCTTCTTTTTCTGAATTCTAACACCAACTGCTTTTCAGAAGCGATCTTTGACCGTTTTTTCAAATCTTTCATTGAAGAAATTTAAAAACTTGAAAAGATTTGGTATTCTGATATTTCGGGCTTTTTGGCTTTCGTCTGTTTACGTACCGTGCAAGTGCAAGGATTATGACAGATATGACAGCTGTCCCAGTTGTGATGAAAACATAACGGAGGAAAAATCATTAGTCCTACATACATCAGTCGTAATACTGAAATCCTCATTTAGAACAGGGGTGGGCAAACTTTTCGTTGCGAGGGCCGCATTGAGAACTATTTAACCTTTGAAGGGCTGCGTATGCACTTAGTTTAAGTGAGGTACAGTTTTCACCCCAAGACCCCAAACAATTTAGGAGCAACCCTGACATTATGGTCAACAAAGTATTAACATTGGCAGAGTTGTTTTATTCCTTAGAAACACATTTCTGAAGAGTTTGACGAAAAGAAATGTTTACACACTACACGCACTCACACACACACACATACACACACACACATACACACACACACATACACACACACACATACATACGCACACAAGCGCACAAACAAACTTCCAAAAATCTCATATACATGAGCAAATAAAGGCCTGGCGAAGTAACCTCGCTTAGACATTGTAATTGTTTCCTCTAAGCATACGTACAAAATGTTTTTTCGTTCTGTTTTGTTTTTTGTATTTTTTGCTTCTGTTTTGTATCATTGCTTGTGTTTTATCTTCGTCTTTTAGTCTGTGTTGTATGTATCTTCCAACGGTATTTTGTTGTAACTATATGCTAGATATAATTTCATTTTTCAGTTTTATGTGTGTGTGTGTGCGTGTTTGTGTGTGTGTTTGTTGGTGTGTTTTGTGTGTGTTTGTGTGTGTGCGTGTGAGAGTGTGTGTAAGCAAGCTACAATCATCTGTAATAACTTCGGTTCAATTTTTGAATAACGATAATGATAAAGAAGATGACTACAAGGTTGTTATTATTATAGTTATTATTACAGTTATAATAATAATAATAATAATAATAATTATTATTATTATTATTGTGGTTAGGGTAATTTGAAAAATTGGTGTTTGCCCGCGAAGAATTCACTACAGTAATCAATCAAACGAACAAGGCTGCTTCTTATTATTTTTATTATTATCATCTTCATCTTCATCATTATTATTATTATTATTATTATGATTATAATAGTTATTATTATTATTGCAGTTATTATCGTTGTTATTGTTATAATTATCTTTCCCCGGTTTCAAAGTTCATACATTTAGAGTCATCGGAGGTGCAAGAATTTATTTGTATTTTCTGATGACGATGATGATGAAGAAGATGAAGAAGATGATGAAGAAGATGATGAGGACGACGACGACGACGACGATGATGATGACGATGATGATGAGGATGTAGGTTGCAAAGATTTAAATTTAATTTAGGATAAGGCTAACGATGATGGTGATAACGATTAAAAAGATGACAGGACAATGATGATGATGATGACAATGGTACTGATGATGATGATGATGACGATGGCACTGATGATGATGATGATGATTCTGATGGGGAATTAATTGCATCTTATTCCTCCTCTTACTTAATTATCCAGCTATTCAATATAACATTTTCCTATCTCGTCACATCATTCTTTTCTCTTTCTCTCACCCTCTTTCTCTCTCTCTCTCTCTCTTTCTTTCTTTTTAAATAATAATATTGTTTTTAAATGAAAGTATTAATAATAATTATCATAATACTAATACTAATGAAACAAAACGCTGGTCGTTTTTTTTTATCAGTGATTGAGTATTTTAATATTTTTAAGATAATTTTTTTCAAATTACAGATAGAGAGATGAAAAATTCATTCATTCATTTATTCATTCATAACTCTATTTATTCACCTAGAACTTTGTTCATTCATTCATTCATTCATTATACATTTATTCGTTAGATAATTTTTTCATTCATATTATATTACCTTTTGTTCACAGAGTAATTAATCAAACAGCTATATATATATATATATATATATATATATATATATATATATATATATACTTATGAGCCTTTGGCCACATAAACAGCGTATCAATTCGAACACCGAATATGGTATAAGAATTCAGGAAAAAGCTTTTCTGTCCCATCATGCTTAAAATAAATACAATTTTGGTTTTGGACTCAAGAAACTTGACAATGATTTACGATCTACCGTTTGAAATATGGAAAAATTAAACAACAGAAAGCTAACTGACGCCGAACATACTGTGATTTTCATCAACAATTGCATTTCTGACAGTCTCAATCCAACATATATATATATAAGAATGATAGAAATGTCCCAATAATATATATATATATATATATTTATTTATTTATATGTATATTTTTATGTATATATATATATATATATATATATATATATATGTAGTAGTTGTAGTAGTAGTTGTTGTAGTAACAATAGTAGTAGTAGTAGTAGTAGTAGTAGTAGAAGTAATAGTAGCAGAAATAGTAGTAGTAGAAGTAATAGTAGTAGTAGTAGTGGTAGTGGTAGTAGTATTTTTTACTGTAGAAACTTTAAATTGACAGATGTCTTAGTACATTTACTAGTATAGCAAATACTAACAATATTAGTAATAATAATAAAAACAACAACAATAATAATAATAATTATTATTATTATAATATCACGGTAGAAAAGTCGTTCAAGCTGAAATCAAAACAACGAAAAATAATATAATTATGACGTAATTAAGACTTAATTTCGACCCTTTTTATGACGTAATATAAACCACGTGATCGAGGATCGAATGACTGATGGAATGAAGGGAATAGGTAATTTTCTTGTTACAGTGGCACTCCTTATCAACGACTTTGAAAACTTCACAGAAACCAGGTCTTAAGAGGAGAGGGGTCTTATATGAGGAGTAAGCATATATACAACCAGTTATAAAAAAGGAACACAGGTTCCTTTTTATTTTTATTAACGAATTTACACTTCATTGTATTACATTCACACAATATATAATTTAGAAAAGCTGTGTTGTATCGTTTAACTCTAAAATTTAATTTATTTTGGAAAAAAAATTAAGTTAGTGGAGCTTGAACGACTGTTGACTTCTTTCTAAGATATTCTGTATGAATTTTAGCATGAAACTTTTCCAAGAGTTCTGGAATGCCTTGAAATCTATGAGCCAGTGTAATATGAATCAACTGTAGAATTGTATGCAAAGAGAGTTTCCTTGTTTAGCCTTGTACTGTACAATTTGCTGAATCTGTGCTTTACCCACATTTGAGGGTTTTCCATTTGAGATTGCAGTTTCTCCGCTGTCACTCCTTCATGAAAAGTCGTAAATATTACGTTTCAACGTTTTTGGGTCTTTTAAGGCCGTTGGTCGGATTTTGGAGGGAGTCTTAGATCGGGAGTGAAGGGAGTCTTAGATCGGGAGTGAAGGGAGTCTTAGATCGGGAGTGAAGGGAGTCTTAGATCGGGAGTGAGGCTTAATGTGGGAACAATCCGTTAGGAACAAAAATCCGGAATGAGAAAGAGAGAGAGAGAGAGAGAGAGAGTGAGAGAGAGAGAGAGAGAGAGAGAGAGTCGTAATTGGGAAGGTCGTTGAGAAGGGGTATCACTGTATTTCTAACTTCATTAACTCGATTCAATTGGATTTTAAAAAAAATTAGATTTAAAAAAAATACTATCTCATTTTAATTAGTATGTAATTTAGTATAATTACTATTATCAACATTATAACTATATATATATATATATATATATATATATATATATATATATATATATAAGTTTGTGTGTGTGTGTACATATGTGCGTATATTTGTGTGTGTTTTTGTGTGTCTTGTTTATTTACGTGTGTGTATATACTCAAGTGTAATATATATATATATATATATATATATATATAGTATATATATATAATATATATATATAGTACAATAAATAGCAACACATCAATATAGATTTATATGTACCTATATATATATATATATAATAATATATTTATTTTGTATATATATATATATATATTATATACATATATGTGAGCGTATTCTTGTGTGTACGTAAGACCTGATGACGTAACAGAGGGTGGCCTTGTGACGTAAAAAGGATGACCTCGACCTCAATGGTCAAAGAGTGTTGACCCATGACGTCACGATGATGAGCAAGAGTATAAGGTAACCGCTGTTTCTAAGACTGTTTCCGTCTGCGTTGTGTTTGTATGTTTGTGTGTGTGTATGTGTGTGTGTTTGGATGTTGGTGTTTGTTTGTGTAAATGTGCTTAGTGTTTTTTTGTTTATGTGTGTTTTTGTTTTGTTACTTTAGTTTTTGTATTTTTGTATGTGCATATATGTTGTTTGGCTTTAGTGAGTGTGTGTGTGAGTGTATGTGTGAGTGTATATATATGTGAATGTCTGTGTGTTTGTATGTTTGTATATCAGAACGTTTTAATGTGTGTTTGTGTGCGTGTGTATGTGTGTATAGTGAAATATAATAAAATGATGACAATGGACAAAATGATAATTATTCTTAGTTAGATGTTAATTAATTTTAATGAGAGGCAAATTAATATTAATGAGATGATAAAATTAATATTAATGATGGACAACATGCGTGTGCTTGTGTGTGTGTGTGCGTGTGTGTGCGTGCGTGTGTATCATAGCTACCTTGATGGCGCCCGGGTGAAGTTTCCATCGTCATTATGATGATAATGATGACGATGATGACGATGATGATAACGACGATGATGATGATGATGGTGAAAATTATAGTATTAATTATGATGGTAGATATACAGACATACACACATATAAAGACGCCTAAAAAAACTCACAACCAAAAGCCTAAAATGGCAAAGTGAAAGATTAATTGTGGGAGAGAGAGAGAAAGAGGAAAATAGATTAAGAGAGAAAGAGAGAGCGAGAGAGAGGAGAGAGAGAGAGAGAGTAGAAAAAAAGAGAGAAAAACAAGAAAAGAAGTGAGAGAGAGACTTAAAGTATGTGTGAGGAGTGGTAAAAGAAACTCACAAGATTACATAAAAAAATTATTAAGTGCATAAACAAGTTGTTTACCACAACAATACACACAGACACACACACGTACACACAGACACACACACACAGAGAGAGAGAGAGAAAGAGAGAGAGGGAAAGAGAGGGAAAGGTAGGGAGAAAAACTGAAGAGAAATAACAAAAGTATAGCCATAGTTGGAGTTCATCGTTAATGCATAAACTGCATTAAAGCTAATTTCAGAGCACTAACACCAGTAATAATAATAATAATAACAA